ATGACGGTGCGTCTGTGGTCTACGGTATCTGGTAACTGCGTAACTATTATATACTTTCCCGGAACGGTTTATAGTCTTGATTGGAAGAATACAAAAGCGGGTGACCTTTTATTAACGGGTGGTACTGATAAAGTCATTCGGTTGTGGCATGTAAAAAGAAAAGACGATCAAACTTTGCAAGTCGTTTTACATTGGGCGTCAAATCAAAATATATTGTGTACTCGTAACGCATATATTCAAAACGTGAAAGGTTTGAATTCAATGAATATTCACCTTTTAAAGCAAAGAGGGGCCACTGAAGACTCGAAAGTTAAATTGTAAGCAGTCTTATTTTTATATCCTATCTAGTGCTTTATTTGTATTGTTAAATTTATTATAAATAAACAAGTATTTACAATTATATTATATAAACTATTACTTAATAAGAATGATATAAATGTATCGTAACCACGTCAAGAACTAGAATCACGTAATCACGTAATTTTTACGATCGCCTCAGTTATAAAATGCACATGACCACGTCTAATTATTAGATGAGTAATGTATTATTAAATTACATCATAAATCTTCGACGTAGATCATTTTCTTCCCTCCCCGCGTCATTCCCTTTTGCCCCTTTATTTGCTTTTTATACCGCCCTTTTATAAATGCAACAGGCCGTTTACGTTATTACCACAACGCCATTTAATTTATGTTTATGATGCTCACTCCCTATATAGATAACGAGAAAGTAAACGAGCAAATTTTTTACAGGTGGAATCGAAATGATTTTGTGAAAAAATACCAAAGTATTATTGTTTTGACTTACGATCTAAAGTAAAGATGAATTAAAAATTTCTTATTCAATTAGAAATAGCAAAAATGTGCTTATTGAACTTACTGTCTAAGATTAAATAACAAGAATGCAATAAATTTTCATTCCTAAAACAAATGGCAAATTTATTTTAAATTTAACTTACAGTCTATAAAAATAAAACAAGATACCATTAAATTTATTTTATCAAATAAATAGTGTACACATCCTGACTGATTTACCATCTTAATAACTAAAAACAAAATGTCTTAAAATTTCATTGATATAATTAACAATTTAAAGAAAAATATCTGGATTTAACCAACTCCCTATAAAATCGTTATTTAATGCGTTTATATTTGTAAAATATGATAAATATACAGTATATTACATCTAACTTACAAAATACAATGACAGAACAAGGATGCAATTAGATATCTTCATATTTTATTTTTACGAAACAAATAAAAACATCTCTAAATTTAACTTACTTTCTATACCGTATCAAAGTCGACGGCACATGTCATTATTTAAATGATTTTAAAAACAAATAGTCAAAATAATTTACCATCTAAAAAGGCAGAAATGCAATAAAATATCTAATAATTTGGAAAACAATAAAAATAAATATTCGGATTCAACTTACCACCTAAAATAGAAAAGGAACAATATATTTATGATTTTACAAATAAACAATAAAATATACTTATTTAACTTACTATCTATAATAATAATGAATCAATACGTCAAGACTTTATTATCTTTGAAATAGCAAAAGTTCTTCAATTTCTACTTACAATTTATAGTATTTACTGTAACATGAATACAATCAATCATGTTTTTTTAATTTGCGAAAATTCACGAGTATATGTCCGGAATTCAACTTACCCACTAAAAGTCAAAACCAAGTGCATTGTATTTAGCTTAACTTACTGTCTATAATACAGGATAATACGAATGTAAGAAATTCCACCTGATAAGAATTTCAAACGATACCCTAAATAACTTTGATTTTTTAGGTTGTGCGAAATGTATCAAAAAATTAATTATTCAACTTACAATCTAAGAGAGGCCGTGATTAATAAATATCTTGTTTTTATAAAACCAATGAAACTATCGTTTTTCGACTTACAATCTATAATAATGACGAGCAAGAATATAATCTATAAATTTACTTAAACATATAATGAAAGTATCATGGATGTAACTTATCCACTAGAAAGTTATTGATTAATACAGTTAGATCTCAAATAAATAACGAAAATTCGCGTACTAAGTTTAACTTACCTACAAACCCAAGCAATACGATAACAAATTAAAAAATCTTAAAAAAAAACAAGGATGAATCAAAAAGAACAATGAAAATATCCCGTTTTAACTTACCCCCTATATAAAATTCGGCGATAAATATAATTAAGTACCCTTTTACGTAATTTACAAAAAAAACATAAATATCAAAAGTTCGATAACACTGATACGGCTAAATGTTAAATATCAAGCTAGGGAAAGTTCCTGTTTTGGGTCCAAGTAATATGAGATCGCGTGGCTGTTTATGCGTTAGACTTATTTGAAGATGATTTTATCAGGTTTCAAATCTGTACAATTATATATTTCTCTCGCCCGATCATTGAAGAATTTTTAAAATTGCTCCTGAATTAATATCTGTACGTAGTTGCAATGGCGGTAGGCGTGAAAGACAGAATTAATCTTTTGCCAGTAATCGAAGATCGTACCCCGTCATAATCAATGATGTTGACTCGGATAAATTTACTAAATATCATTTTTATCTTGGATTTTATTTCTTTCATATCAATAATGTTGGCCCTTGTGGCTGAATTATCATAGTTATCATATATAATTTATACTCTTATTTTTTCTAATTTTTTAAAAAATTTTCTTGGAAAGTCATCGACAACCTGAGACCAAAAAGTTCCATTTCAACCTTTTGAGCATATCGGCAACTTGTATAAACGATATCGAACACATAATTCAATAAAAAAAACACTAAAGCTCTACTCTGTTGTGCGTCATATACGAGCATGCTCATCTACGTAATGTTCTAATAAAGAGTAAGTTGTATCACACTCAGGGCAATCAATTTGCAAATTCTCTGATGATGATTCTAATGGTGCCTGTAATCAAAAAACATGAATGGTGAAATATTGCTACATAAAAAGAAATAGCGATGATGCACCTGTGAAATTGCTTCATTAATCTTCTACACCTTCAATGTGAACTCTGGCAAAATATTATCACCCTTTAAATCTTTCCATGCGTGCTCACGACAAAAGACATTACCATGTTGATTCCGCTTGTATACCCAAATTTTTCTATTTTTGGGATCAATCAACCAACCGAGTTGTACAAATGTTCCAACTGCAAAGTACGTATACGTGTTTAAATTTATCATCTAACTCTTCGAACGCCATCTACTTTCAGTATCTCTAACCTCGACAATGAATGTAGGAGTGAATGGTCCACCCTGAAAAGTCCAACGTTGCAATTCAGTCAATTGGCTTGATACCGCGTCAGGTGTGAAGGAGACATCAGGAGCTCTGATCGATTTTCGACCCTCAACACTGAAGTTATGAGCCCGTTCTGTCCAGTTTGAATATTTCAGGCATAAAGTTCTCCCACAATTGATGAAACAGTAACCTCCATGCAGTGAGTGGCCTGTGGCATTGGAATAAGCTTTCCGATTTTGTCAAGGTCAAATAAATTGACAGGTTGCCCGTTGATTCTAAAGTGCGTGTTTCGAGCTGTTTGTTAATTAACTTGAACTCTTCAAATGAGTAGGTATGGCTAAAATCCAAGTTATCAAGATCTATTTTTGCTTTGGACATTTTCGTGAGGTGAAAAATTTTTTAGTATTGGCTATAGATTTACTTTGAACTATTCCGAGGCCTTTCAGGATCGAGATAATACCCCGGATTCCAAGATAGCCTAGATATGCAAAAAAGGCGCTCTGCAAATAAACAAAATAGAAAAGAGCGAAGAAGTATCAGAAGAAGAGCCTATTTGCACAATCTGAGAATTAGGTTCAACCAAACAAATATTATATACCGCAACTCCAACAGTAAGAATAAAAGTCGCAAAAATGATTATTGGCAGACCGGCGATCAGATTGGCTACTAAGTATTGTTATACTTGATTTTCGCTCAATGATCTTCATCACCCTTGTTCAATTTTTAGTAGTATTTACCCTTGTAATATTGCTCATTCTAGAATAATCTTTGTATTACTGATCTACTATCTCCAAGCACTGTGCTTTTCGTGCTATCTGTGCTCTAGAA